GTACACATACCATTAAAGTACAAAGCAAGAAATAGACCGACTAATTATTTTATTTAACTTTAACTTTGCTAGTAATGATTTATAAAACGCTGTTAAAACAAATAGCTAATTTTGGATCCAATTTCTAAATGAGGCGCTTAGGTCCAGGTCGGGATTCATTTCCTTTTGTCGAAACCACTTGTTTAGTAGCTGAAGACTTCATGGAAGATTTTGATGTCTTTCTGATGGACTTTCGCCTCTTGATTGGCTTGCAGCTGTTGTTACATACAGCTGATTCAGTTGGCGTGTTTATCTGTTTGGCAGACTTCTTCGTTGAAGGTACTTTACACTTCTCTGGAGTTGTTGCAATTTTCTTGCAAGCTGGAAGCTTATGAACCGCCTGTTTGGGCGCAACCGTTGATTTGGTTGACTTCGCATGCCTTGCAGACTTTGTTGCCCCGCATTTGTCACTCACTGCCGATTCGCACTGATTGGACTGTGACTTTTTTTCTCTACATTGATCCAACAGATCGTCAATCATGGGTCGAAGAACGTTGATAATTTTGTCGAGGCACTGATTGAAGTCATCACTAGGATTGACAGGAGATTTGACACACGGCTGTGGGCATGTCTTGCAACCTGTATCAGGCTTTGACTTGGGACAAGTATATTGCTCATAGCAAGATTTTAATGCCCTTAGCGTTTCAGGACTTAGTTTCTCAGTCAATAACGACAAACACTGTCTCACATCAGTGCTTCCAGGCGGTTTTTCGGCAGTGGGACATTTTGCAACGTTGGAATCTTTTTGCGAAGAACAGCATGGGCTCTTCTCTGCACACTTTTTGGGACGGCTAGCTATTTTTCCGTTTATGTATTCCGCCAACTTGAGTACGCTTTCTTTAATATCAGTGCAAGCGGTGTCTTGTGGGGAGGTTGGTTTATTTGGTTCACACTTATTTTGGCCACGTGGTGTCTCTTCTTCACACTTTTTAGTATATGTGCCGAGTTTGCTGTTTAAGTATTCCACGAATTTGAGCACGCATTCTTTAATATCAGAGCTGGATGAGTCTTGTTGACATGTTGGTTTACAGGGTTCGCACTTATTATGGTCACATGAAGTCTCTTCTTCGCACGGTTTAGGACATGTGTTGATTTTGCCTTTTATGTATTCTACCAACATGAGCACACACTCTTTAATATCAGAGATGGATGGGCCTTGTTGACATGTTGGTTTACAGGGTTCGCACTTATTATTGTCACATGAAGTCTCTTCTTCGCACGGTTTAGGACATGTGTTGATTTTGCCTTTTATGTATTCCACCAACATGAGCACACACTCTTTAAGGTCAGATATGGATGTGTCTTGTTGGTCTGTTGGAGTCTCTTCTTCATGCGATTTAGAACTTGCGTTGTTTTTGTTGTTTAAGTATTCGATGAATTTGCGCCCGCATTCTTTAATATCAGAGATGGATGGGCCTTGTTGACATGTCGGTTTACAGGGTTCGCACTTATTGTCACATGAAGTCTCTTCTTCGCACGGTTTAGAACATGTGTTGATTTTGCCTTTTATGTATTCCACCAACATGAGCACACACTCTTTAAGGTCAGAGGTGGATGTGTCTTGTTGGCATGTTGGAGTCTCTTCTTCACACTTTTTAGTATATGTGCCGAGTTTGCTGTTTAAGTATTCCACGAATTTGAGCACGCATTCTTTAATATCAACGCAAGAGTTTTCTGGGTATGTTGGTTTACATTGTGCACTATGATTAGTGCAGTATGAAGTCTCTTGTTCACATGGCTTAGATTGGGTTTCTTCATTGCAGCTTAAGTATTCCACCAACTTGAGTACGCAGTCTCTAATATCACTGTAGGAGTTTTCTTCTGAACATGTTGTTTTGCATTGTGCACTTTGATTATAACCACATGGAGTTGCTTCTTCACACGGTTTAGAGTAGGTTTCTTCATTGCAGTTTAAGTATTCCACCAACTTGAGTAAGCACTCTTCAATATCAGTACAGGAGTTATCTTGTGGACATGTTGGCTTACATGGTTCACTCTTATTATTTCCCCATGAAGTGTGGTCTTCACAAGATTGAGGATAAGCTTCTTCAATGCGGTTTAAGCATTCTATCATCTTGAGAACGCACTCCATAACATCAAAATCTGAGGTGTCTTGTGAGCCTGTTGGTTTGCATTGTGCACTTTGACTATGGCAACATGGAGTCTCTTGTTCACTTGGTTTAGAGTAGGTGCCTTCATTGCAGCTTAAATGCTCCACTAATTTGAGTATGCAGTCTCTAATATCACTGCAGGAGTTTTCTTCTGAATATGTTGGTTTGCATTGTGCGCTTTGACTATAGCAGCGGGGAGTCTCTTTTTCACATGGTTTAGAGTAGGTGTCTTCATTGCAGCTTAAATGCTCCACTAACTTGAGTACGCAGTCTCTAATATCACTGCAGGTGTTTTCTTCTGAATATGTTGGTTTACAGTGTGCACATTGATTATTGCAGCGGGGAGGCTCTTTTTCACATGGTTTAGAGTAGGTGTCCTCATTGCAGTTTAAGCTTTCCACCAACTTGATTATGCTCTGCGTTATATTACAGTTGGAGGTGTCTTGTGTATATGTTGGTTTATACTGTGCACATTGATTTTTGCAGCATGTAGTCTCTTCTTGACGAGGTTTAGGACAATTATCTGTTTTGTAGTTCAAGTATTCCACTAACTTGATCACGCAATCTCTAATATCTGTGCAGGACTCTTCAGGAGGTTTGTGTCTTGAGCACATACTCTGACTGCTTCAATGAGTCGGTGCGGCTACTTCCTGTTTACTTCTTTTTATATTAGCTTAATGTGCACTTTTAATGTTTTCTTTCGTCATCTGGTATCATTTGAACGATATCAGTCCTGTCAGCCATTTTGAAACCTTTATACCATGTGTATGTTGTTCTTATCTATAAATAAGGCTATTGAATGTAAAATGAGACTTTACTTAAAACCTCAAAATTCGCATGCTCCAAATTAACTCCATGCTAAGCATTCAATTTTAATGGCATGTCACATGTTGATAGCTCTTGCACTTTAAATGAGAAGCAGCTTGTCCTTAGGATAAATCATCAGGACGCTTGCGATTTAGTTGTCGACTTGAGATGTTGG